TTCCTACTACATCAGCATAACTACCGGTAACGTCGTACAACTGGTGCTGTACAACATGGGCAGTGGTGAGTACAACCGGTCTTGAACACAGTTTACTGCATTACAGTTATAATGTCTTTACCTGCTGCTGTACATATACAACATGGGCAGTGGTGAGTACAACTGGTCTTGAACACAGTTTACTGCATTACAGTTATAATGTCTTTACCTGTTGCTATACATATACAACATGGGCAGTGGTGAGTACAACTGGTCTTGAACACAGTTTACTGCATTACAGTTATAATGTCATATAATTACCTGCTGTTGTACATATACAACATGGGCAGTGGTGAGTACAACTGGTCTTGAACACAGTTTACTGCATTACAGTTATAATGTCTTTACCTGCTGCTGTACATATACAACATGGGCAGTGGTGAGTACAACTGGTCTTGAACACAGTTACTACAGGACTGTTATGACTATATCCGGGCTATCCCTTGAATGTAGCTACATGCATGCAAGTTTTGCAGCCCTGGTTGTAGTTGCTAAACTGATAAATGAATAAAAAATAGCTTACATCTGCCTGAAGGTTAACTAATTTACTCTATTGAAGTACGGTCTTTACGATAAATCGAATGGAATATAATGGAGTTATTGCACGAGAAAACCAGGCAGAACCAGGCAGAGGTCGGAAGATGGGGGTCGGCCAATTCGGCTCATACTTTGTATGTGAGATAGGTATGAGGAACTATTAACAGCCATGTAGTTAAGACCCTCCAGCTATTTTTCGTTATGGAGTTCTGGGACCCCCCTCTGAGACCCTCAAAAATCTATCAATTTGTGGCTGAAAATTACTGAAATTTCAATGGATACCATGGTAATTCTAATAATGATATGAACATGGGGTTTCTTTTATCACATAGTATGGGTCTTCTACTTTTGCAAAACAAAAATTGAAGATGCAACATTGAAGTTAAACGGGTATGCCAGGGGGTTACCAGAACCAATGAAATCAGAATTTTCATCTTTCTAAATTTTAGTAATTTTTAAGTAGCCTTTTCTCCGTCACGCGGCAATTTTGATAAACGGTTTTATCGTTGCTGAAAAGAGGAACACCTGCTGATTCAAAAACAAGTGTCGTTTAATTGGGACACGCAGAACGCGAGCCGTGAACTAAGGGTCTTTATGGAGGTTTTCCGGGTTTCGGACCATAATAAATTAGGTAATAGCGTCTCTTTACGGCGTAAATCATGGGCATTTTTTGTGCAGATGCATGTGATCAATGGACAATTGTTGAAAAATGCTAAAAATTGTTAGAAATGTTCGTTGGGGCTCTACATGGGGGATACAAGGATACTTAAAAGGGAATTATACTGATTTTACACAATTTATCACATTTATTTCTAACATCCGTTAGTAACTACCTTTCAAAATCAATTTTGTGCGTTTACTTTGTGCAAAATAATATAAAGGCTATGTATGGGGTTTTTCAGAACACCATGTGTGAAACCAGCTACCATATACACAAGCCATGTTGATATTTACTTATTTCTATAGATATATACATAGTAAGTTGATGGATATTAATGTCTATATCTTTCCTAGCCTAGTTGTTGGAAAGTTAGTAGTATGTAAGCGGCAGGATCGGTGCCCTTGTAGTAAGGGGCATAACTTAGGCAAGGAGTTACCGAAACTATGCAAATTATGTATACAAATAATATGCATCTCCTTTCATTTAACTAAAACTAGGGCCCTCTACTTCTGTCGTGTCGATAATTTGTGTCCGTATGACATGTATATATAAACATTTGTACTTTAGGTGGTGGTGAAAACGGCACCGCCCACCCTGTCCACATGCACGGCCACCATTTCTACGTCCTGCACATGGGGTTTCCGGAGTACAACAGCAACGGCAAATTCGTTACCCAGAACACGGACATCGACTGTGGCGGGTCGGAGCGGTGCAACTCCCGGGGCTTTGTGGACGGAGTCTGGGCAGACACCGACTCTGACACTGACACTGACAACGGCACGGCTACTAGGACTTTCAACCTGACGAACCGACCGAAAAAGGACACCGTCATCGTGCCGGTAGGAGGCTACGTGGTCATTCGGTTCGTCGCCGATAACCCAGGTACACTTTCCTATAACCCTAGTACAATTTCCGATAACCCAGGTACACTTGCCAATAACCCAGGTACACTTTCCGATAACCCAGGTACACTTTCCGATAACCCATGTACACTTTCCGATAACCCAGATACACTTTCCGATAACCCATGTACACTTTCCGATAACCCAGATACACTTTCCGATAACCCAGGTACACTTTCCGATAACGCATATACACTTTCCGATAACCGACGTACACTCACCCAGTTTCACTTTCCGATAATCCAGGTTCACTTTCCGATAACCCAGGTACACTTTCCGATAACCCAGGTATACTTTCCGATATCCGAGATACAATTTCCGATAACCCAGGTGCACTTTCCGATATCCGAGATACACTTTCTAATAACCCAGGTACACATTCCGATAACTCAGGTACACTTTCCGAAAACCCAGTTAGTGAGTTACACTTTTATATGGTTGCTGTTTTGATATGGTAAATTTGTCTCAAGACTCTGCACTTTACATTCCGGGGCCTTTGTTCTGACCAAATCTATGCCTACATGCACCAGTGTCATCAATCCAGAATTAAAGCTGTTTTTTTGTCAAGAACCATCATAAAAGAACGGATCTACTGACACAAAGCACAGTTAGTGACTCCCCATTGGATAACGTATATCAGTTAGATGTGTGCAGGTTGGGATTAGGCTTTTTCCTATTTTCGGATTTTCAGTAATGGCGTTCAGAGCATGTACACGCCAGAAAGGTCATAATACTCATATATGTATATGAGTATATGCTGATGATTTCTTGTCCGTATGCAGTCCGATATTGTCAACTCTGAATTTGTCCGGATACGTTTCTTAACTGAAATAACACTATAGTAGTGCATGTTTCGCACTTTATGATCTGAACTGCAGGCTGGTGGTTCATGCACTGTCATATTGAGATCCACCAGGTGGAGGGGATGGCCATGATGATTAAGGAGGGGACGGAGGGACAGATGAATCCCCCACCCCCGGGATTCCCTACCTGTGGGAGCTTCGACTGGAGTTACAAAGACTTCAAGAAAATCAGCAAAGCTGCTTCATTGAGGAGCTCTATGTGTAAGTCTAGCGTGTCTGTGTAGTTTGTGTGTGTCTGTGTTCCTGTGTGTAAACATGATAACTTTAAGATTCCTGGGTAGATAGTCTTAACATTTAGCCCATGATGTAGATCTTTATGAGACCTTGATGAATTCTTTTATGGTTTTTATTTAATAAAACACATAAAAGTAAATACAAGACTGCAATGGCGACGGCTTCAAGTTAATTGCACTTGTATAAGCGCCGCCATCAAAGACACTAAGGAGCTACAGCGCAAATTCCGGTTTAAATATCTTGTGATCTGGATATACTCAAGAATTAGCTGGCAGACATAATAAGTCATTGGACCAATAAATAGACTACTTTTTCACCTGAAGGTATTGTTCTCGTCAGTCCTTTCGTAGAAAATTATGTATAATAGGAAAATTTGTGTTATCTCCAAACTGCCTATGTCTGATGTTATGTCTCATCTGTTACAGGGTTGGACCTTTTGGTGACGGCTGGAGCTCTATGGTTGCTCTTGTAGTTTAAATGTACTTATCAAATGTGGTTGCATAATGAGGTTGCAGACTTCGATTTCATTGTAACAATGAGACAGGTTAACCGCCGAATTAGTGTCACCACGTGACGATAATATAAACTCTTATGTTTTTATGGATAATATTTCTTATATAGAATAGTATCGTCTGTAAGTATTGCTGTTTGGCATTTGTTGGCGTACATAGTCCCCATTTTCCGTATAGGATGAATTATTCTTAAGTCTGTCTAAATATTGTACATGTGAAGTCTACAGTCATCACGTAGCTTTATGTTTTAAAAGTACAATTACTTCCACAAAATATAAGGATTATTCTTGAGTAATCTCCATTGTGAAATATTCTGTTTAGTAATAAATTATAAATACATGTATTCATCGTTAGTACGTATAATGAGATCTATATTGTAGACTCCTTGACTTTAATTAACGTACATATTCAAATGTTAGCATATACTAGAAAAGTAACATTTGCAAAGCAAATGCATAATGTTTACCTTCGGATATGGTCTGCTCTGTTAATTCTTACTCAAACACATTCACATACATGTATATGGTGACAGGAGTCTAAATACCTACTATGAAATTGCCACATTGTGTAACCCGACACCAGTTACTATGGTGACAGACGTAAACAAAAGAGGCCATTGGCCAGGTCAGAGGTTAGTGTTTGGAACAGAAGAAGAAATGGAGCAAAAACAATATTTTTTCCTTCGGTAAACATAAAAATGAAGTTTACACACACGATAGTGTTTTACTTAGGCCTTAATGCTGGATCAACAACAAAATAAACCTACTTCAAACCTACTGGACAAAGCTTCAGACAGAAATTGATATTAAAAGAGTCAGTGTTACCATAATGTACTTGTACCTCAGGTATTAAAAGTTAAGCCACTGCAAGTAAACCGTATGTATGATAGCCTTCGTACACTCCAAATCCAATGCTATGGGCGAAAAAAACAAGGTAGGCCAAAAAACAAGATTCCTACATTTTTAAATAAACCTTAAAAAACAAAAAAAATGACACCTATATTGTGCACAGTTTACTGCCATTAGAACATCACTTTTTTGACGTTACTGAAAAATACACGTTTTCAATCATTGTGCAATGGTTCCCATTTAGTGGAAACATCACTTACATCACGTATGAATTGACTTGCATTACTGCATCAAAGTAAAAGACAAAACAATAAATCAGAGCCTTGTCTTGTCTCCCCTCTTCATTTTTACCTGCCACAGACATATTTGCTCACTTTTGGCATGTTAACCATTGTCAGAGGGCGACATTTTTTTACAATGTAGTTAGTTAGTTAGCAATGGCCCTTAGTCACGCACTTGATTAAGTTACACAAAAAGAAATTGCATGTGGTCCTTACGTTCCTGTAGTTCACACAGCCCCGGCAGTTACAGTGGCCTCTCGTGTTGCCGCAATAGTTTCCCTCGGAGCAGCATGGGTACATACCGTTAGGGTCACATTCGGCAGGTTTACCGTTTTCTTCAGGGTAACCCTTACCGCAACGCAAGTCATCACGCCACTTTCTCTTAGAATCCACTGGCCCTAGTAGCAGAATAGACATAAACATAAAACCGTTGCATCAAACGTTGGATTTACCATTGGTAATAAATAGCAGTCTTCTCGAGACACAAATCGCATGCCCCTAGCCAGTAATTTTGAAGGGGGGGGGTCTTACCACTTTTCGAGGGACCAGTGAGAAGTTTGAAAATCGTACATTCTGAAATTACATTTCCTGCGTTTTGTATAGAGGATATCATAGAAAAATTCAAACATAACTTTTTACTCAGTTTCAAAGTAAGCAGTTTTTTTTTACAATCCCAACCCCGCTAGCGTTGGTGATACGAATCAGCCCATCTTTAAAGAAATTTTTTTAGACATTTAGATAAAAAGTGGACCTTGTATTGTTTGCTTTGTTAATTGTACTAGGCAATTGTATTAAAAAGTGATTTGCCAAAATCATAAATGTATTTTACAAAAAGTAAGACCCAACCCATGATAATGGCACGTCGGTAAATTCAACCTTTCGTGCACTGTATATTGCAAGTTAGAATTAGGTTTCTACCAGTATATGGCCCAAACATTATGATTTTAGAATTAGAGTAATGAACAATAATGTTTTTCACACCCAATAAAAATATCTGCTGAATCCTTAAACACATTCTAGACAATAGGCCAAGTTTTAGTAGCTCCCAACATGAAACAAGACATATGATAGCCTTATTGGTGTGAGTGTTCTTGTGTGTGTTTGTATCATGAGTTGTATTTACACACCTGCGCCCCTCATAGGCCTGAAGTCCACACAGCCATGGCAGTCACAGTGGTCTGCCGTGTTGCCGCACCAGTATCCCGGGGAGCAGCATGGGATTACGCCCTCAGGGTCACATTCGGCAGGTTTACCGTTTTCTAAAAGGAAACCCTGACCGCAACGCCAGTCATCACGCCACTTTTTCTGAGGAACCACTAGCCCTACTAGTCATAGATAAAAATATAAGCAGACGTTACAAATGAGAATCAACATTTGGTGTGGTTCAAGTTTTCTTGTGAGATTAAGAAATGTTATTTACAAAAGACAAGAAATAAAAGAAATACTAGTATTTTAACTGAAGATGCCATACCTCTCTGGTGACTTTGTGCTAACGGTGCAATAACACCATTGGTGTTTACTTCATGTTCAAATCCGGTCAGGCCCAGCGGTAGAATCCTTGGGTGGGCTGTCATATTTGATGTCATGACCACAGTACGATCAGTGGTGTAGGAGGTGTCCACGACAGGGTGATCAGAGGTGTAGGTAGTGTCAACAGCAGAGTGAACAGAGGTGTAGGTAGTGTCAACAGCAGAGTCAACAGAGGTGTAGGTAGTGTTAACACCAGAGTGAACAGAGGTGTAGGTAGTGTTAACAGCAGAATAATCAAAGGTGTAGGTAGTGTTAACACCAGAGTGAACAGAGGTGTAGGTAGTGTTAACAGCAGAATAATCAAAGGTGTAGGTAGTGTTAACACCAGAGTGAACAGAGGTGTAGGTAGTGTCAACAGCAGAGTAACCAGGGGTGTAGGTAGTGTTAACACCAGAGTGAACAGAGGTGTAGGTAGTGTCAACAGCAGAATAATCAAAGGTGTAGGTAGTGTTAACACCAGAGTGAACAGAGGTGTAGGTAGTGTCAACAGCAGAGTAACCAGGGGTGTAGGTAGTGTTAACACCAGAGTGAACAGAGGTGTAGGTTGTGTCAACAGCAGAGAAATTAGAGGTGTAGGTACTGGGAGAAAGAACAGACGTGTAGGTAGTGTCTCCAGCAGGGTGATTAGAGGTATAGGTGGTGTCAACTGCAGGGTAATCAGATGTGTGGGTTGTGCCTTTATCAGTGTTTTTGAAATGCATCCAGGTCCCAATGGAGATCATTATCACCATGACACACAAGGCAGCTATAGTCGAAGCAATGACGATCTTCCTACACTCTGAAAATACATGGCACAGAGATTTAAACGTCAACGTGTTTGCAAAAATTACCACACTGAAAAGTTAACATGACGTATAATGTAAAATTGAGGAAATTATATTATTGACAACGAATGCCTAAAAAATTAACTGAATTTAGATGAGACCACAAATACAACGGAAAAACAAAGAGGAAATATACAGGAAACAAAGGAAGTAAAATTATGACCTGAATGTATAATGTAATATTGTGTAATTTAATTTACTATTAAAATTAGAATTGGCCACCAATCATGATACTCTGACAAAACTGTAAAAACAAAAAGAAAGGTTTAAAATAGATTATGAAATAAATGATGTAAAGCTACATTTCGACATATAAAAAGGGAAACTCACTGCAAGATGATTGTTGTGGTACGTTAGGAACGTACGAAGGATTCCAGTTCAGGCCTTTAGAAATGTTAGGGTTGGCTTTAACAGAAACTGTCCGGTCTGCATCATTTTCAGACGAGTGGGATACAGCTCCGTATGTCGGATTTTGCCATTCGTATGTAATAGTATATGGCTCCTCATAGGCATCATTGCCTGTGATGTCGATTGCTTCCCCAATCCCAGCCTGCAAATTCCTCTGCTTTTTGGCATCTGAACATACTTGCGTCACACTGCCTTTGGAGACGTCGTTTGCGTTGACCCTTGGTGTGACGTTGGCGGTAGCGATGTCTTCAGCCATGTTTTTTTCGTCGACCTGCATACAATTTTTGTACTAGTTTTACCCTCTCCTTCTTCAAACTACATGTACGTTTTTGTCGTCGTATGTACGTGTGATGCAATGTGATCTAGTAAAGGGAATGTGTAATTTTGGGGTATTCAACCTTGACACTAGACCATAATGCATAGAATGGTATAGTTTTGAAAATGGTATGCTCCCTCCAACCAAAAATCTATCGTCAATTTAGCTTACTATTTAACGATAACATTTTATGCTATGTTTTCACATGAAGACATGTTTTGCCAATAAACTTTGAGCCCTATAGCTGCATTACCAATAACGGCAAAATTATCAAGCCCAGTAGAGCAGTTTCAATTTGACCATAAACAGGCAGTCATGCGAGTAGTGTTAAACACACTATTGAACATTAACTTATGTACTGTAAAGATGAAAACAGACTAGACGAAAATATGATTATCATATAGTACGGTATACTTAAAACCCCACAGCATGTCAGTAATATTTCACATTGTAGTCTTATTGCTAAAAACTGTATATATCTATGTTTCATCGATGATTCTAAACCAACTTTTACATTATTTAGAAAAAAGACTAAAAAACTATAGAAATAAAACATAACGAAAAATCGATTTTTAATATCACCATATATGTAACTTCTTTTACGTTACTTTAAACCAATATTTTGTTTGTTTTGTATCATAAAAATAATAACTATGGATTTTTTGTATTGTTGTACTGTGAGTGATAATAAAGTTGGTAATAAGAAGATAAAAAAAGGTAAGGTGTTGGTACTCACGATAAACGTCTGCGGATGGAGGAGTCTGCATGATTAGCTGTACAAACAATTAATGGTCATGATAAGATAATAATAATAATAATTGTTTATTGATTGATCGATGAGTACAATCTCCAGCATATGGCAGCGCAACTAAAAAAAGTAGCGCTGAATTGTATGCTAGTGTTTTAAAAACAGAGAAACAAATATTGCACAGTTAACAAATAGACAACTGAACAAGTGAGTATTTCACAGTTAACATATGGACAACTAAATAAGTGAGTAAAATGGGCTTAACAATATTTACAATATCAACCAAGACGTGATCAATATCATCAGTGTAAAAATAATTTTATAGTATGTAACGTGATACGTAATAACTTATTGAAGTTGATTAATTGCTTGTATGTCTGTTACGAATTTATTAAATGGTTTCTTTATCGAAGCAAAACTTGCACCAACAAACTTATTTCTGTGTTGAATATATTTCTTTTTCCAAAATCTTCAGTTCAGTAAACTTGTTTATGTACTTCACCATCAGACAAATGAAATTGGAGTCTCCTGAACATGGCTGTATGTTAATGTAATCATGTAGTCCTGACGCCGAACTACAACCACCCACTAAGGCAATCATATCGCTACAGTTATGAGTCTGGTTCTCCTCAACATCACACCAACATTCAGTTTGACTATTTTTTTAAATATTGAACCCACATTAGCCCCTATCGGGAGTACATCTCTTGGGTCTAGGAAACAACTTCGTACAAGTCATGTTAATACAGCACCTGGATTAGATTTGATGGTTAAAGATATTGTATGTTGACAAAAGAGACATACAGTGCAATATTATTAAAGAAATAGCCCCTAGATATAAAAATATTTACAAAAATAACATTAGAGATTCGGATCATCTAACTCTACCGAAGTCGATGTTTTCGAAGTGCTTGAGATGAAATGCAGACTTTTGACTTGAGTTCGTAGCTCATTTTACACTTTTTACATAATTTCGATGTGTACCCTAAGATTAACAGTTTATGTATCTACAAGATAGCAGATATCTACAAAATGCAGTATCGGTAATCTCTGATGTATACACACTGTTTAAGACACTCTTAACCAGGCTCTAATTACACCATTGTTCAGCTTTTCAACGTGTCATTCTTAGGATGATGCGCCAAAGCTAGCTTGCCAATTGTCATAAGATAAACATTTAGCTAAAAAATATCTCTATGAAGATAGTAATAAGCGATGTAAAATAAAATCAATAGTTACGGTTTCAAGACTAGAATTAGGAAAACAGTAAGACCATATTGTACTTACCGCAAGAAATATTTGTATGGGATTTACAGTTCTTGTAGCTATACAAGAATATAAGCCCGGTCTACTGCACGGCGGGTGATGAGATATTTGGTTCTAGGTAGGCCAAGTTTTAACCAAGAGTCAGCAGACTCAAATGAAGTATTCAGGACTTAAGACGAACCATTTGGTGGTGGCGGGGGGGGGGGGAGATGTCGAATGTAGTTCTGCGAAGTTGTGCTGTTGCTTTAATAGAACAATAAAAAATTGAGATCTTGTCTAACAAAAGATGCCCCTAACGATAACACAGGATGAAAAGTGTTCGAATGGTATAAACAAGCCCTTTTCATTCAAAACTTTTAGTGAACTTGCCCAAACCCCTTTTCTATTTCATCAGACGAATGGAATATCAGGATCTCGAATAGTTATCAGACTACAACGTCAACATTACGTAAGGCAACGTCTGATTCTTAGCGCTATATCGGAGATGATTTAGAAATAAACAGTCAAATGTTTATAATATCTCATTTTCTCTAAAATGTTTGCTTTTTAGACATTTTAGACTCATTTTAGAGCTATGTCATGAGGTAGTTGCGTATAAACCCTATTCTGACTTGCATTTGGTTGGGTTCTCGCAATTAGTGGGTGGGGGGATCCTATGTAAATCTAAAACTACTTATTCTATGTAGTGCAACGGGCAACGTGAAGGGTTGTGATGTACGTGTTACATGTACAGGTGGGGTGGAGTGGGTGCAGTTCAATCTCTGGGCAATGGGTTTGAAAACATGTAGTACAAAAAATGCCAGCCAATTGTATTAGGCAATAGGAGTGCTGTAATGTAGGCGTTACGTGTAGAGGTGGGGTGGGTGCAGTTTCATGTCTGGGCAAAGGGGGCGTTTTAAAACATACCACACGTAGTGTAAAAACTGCCCGCCTTAAACCCTGAATGCAAACAAGGCTGAGGCAATAAAAACCATTGCCAAGGCGACGACTGAATGATATATATTATTTCATGTGGTGGAGCTAGCAATCTACATTACAATTATAAGAAAACAGATTTCCCTATCTTATAAAGACATGCACGTACTAGTAAAAAATTTACAGGATGGGTGGAGAAGGTGTGGGGCAATATACCAAATACACGTATAGGAGGAATCAGCCGTTCTTCCCCAGCAATATAAATTTTATGATGACATACTTACTTTACTTTGGTCGAGTTTCCACTCGAACCAAACTTAAAACCATCCTCCACTCCACTTCACTCTATTCTCCACCAGAGACTGGATTTTACATCTGATCTGAACTTGTTTCTCCTAGGACTTGTTAGAATAAAACCCACCCCCACCAGCCTGTTCTTGGGGAGGGAATGTCAGATTCCTGATCACACAGCTGTGCTCTCTGTCCATGGTGTGGGGAAAAGACAGATGGCCAGTAATTAATCATGCCAGGCAGCCGGATGGGTGTCACGTGGGCACCCGGTGTAAGTCACCTGCTTGGTCCAAAAACCACATGGCCGAAGGTTGCCTCAAAACCAATTCCCTATGCCTAGGGAATGCATTCGTGCAATTTTTGGAATTCTTTCAAAGCGATCGTAGTACTTGCACAAATGCATCCGCCCAAAGGCGTCGCCAAAAAAGAAACAAACCTAATATTACCTGTAAACACACACAAATTAAATCTCAGCTGACATCATTATGTTTAATTAGTACCGACTGTAAGCTAGGATACACGGGCATCTGGTTGTTTTTACAGCCGTTTTAAATTTTAATGAGAGTGCATGGTAAAAAAAAACATATTAACAGTCCATTGCAGTTTCCTTTCAGTTGTTGTTTTTTTTCCATTACGTTATGTTCTATGTTCCATTTATTTATTCAGGGTTGCGTGTAGAAAGGAAACGTTTGTTTCGTGTATAAAGCATTTCATTTCCTTGCTGACCGATCTAACACACCCAACCGTCCTGTCACACTGACACACTTAAAAAAATCACAGATGCGCATTGAACCATAATAGTTCTTTTTTATTATAGAAATCACCAAAACTGTAAATTTTAAGCATTCTCAACAGTCTCAATTGCAGACAGCAGACTTTTATAACAGTTTCTAAACACTGTTAAAACAGTGGTAAGAAACGGTTACAGTCTTGAGTGTTACAGTGGTATTGAACTGGTACATTGTTACAGTCATGATTGTTACAGCCTGTGGTATTGAACCGGTACATTGTTACAGTCATGATTGTTACAGTGGTATTGAACTGGTACATTGTTACAGGCATGATTGTTACAGTGGTATTGAACTGGTACATTGTTACAGGCATGATTGTTACAGTGGTATTGAACTGGTACATTGTTACAGTCATGATTGTTACAGTGGCATTGAACTGGTACATTGTTACAGTCATGATTGTTACAGTGGTATTGAACTGGTACATTGTTACAGGCTTGAGTATTACAGTGGTATTGAACAGTTACAGGCTTAATTGTTACAGTAGTAACAGACTGTTTTATTGTTACAGTCTTCATTGTCGTCAGAATTGTGATTGTTACAGTTATTGGAATATTGTTCCTATAAAAAGTGCCTGCTTTCCCAATAAAAATCAATTACATACATTCATAAATATATTTGTTTTCTATTTTACATACATTCATACAATATAGTTGAGTTAGACATGAAATAAGTTTCTAGTACAATTAATTTTGATCGCCCAACATATTATACGCATCTAGAAACCCGACACATGTTTCTGAAGTTGATTTTCTCTTTCAGATCAAAATTGCAGTCCATGCATGGCCTTTTGTAATGCAATTATTGTGTCTAACAAAGCTATTAATCAAGCTCATGTTTTTAGTAAAATTAAAGTATCCAAAAATAGCTGACATGCAACATGAGATACTTAACTGGTTTCATATTCATCATCGGGTTCGTTACATGTGTCCAAAGGACATCAGCGAAGAATTCAATGAACTGATTGTGATGACTTTAGTTCTTTCGTATGGTCTAACTTGTCATCTAAACGACACTACAGAACTTGATGAGACATGTACGCCGATGCAGCATAATTCCATATACCATATACAGTGTCAAGGACAGTATTCCAAGGACCTATGTAAAGAAACCTTTATTGGAGAGACTGAAAGATCTCGCAAGGCTAGATTCTTAGAACACAAACGACCCAGCTCGACTACTTCGGAGGTCTCACAACATATACACATAGAATCGCCTGGTCATTCAGTCTCACTGGACAAAGTAAGAATCTTGGACTCAGAACCGGGTTTCTTTGCACAAGGGATTAAAAAGGCCATCTACATCAGGGTATTACAACCATCCCTCAACAGAGACGGGTGGCGTCACAGACTTTTGAAACCTACGATCCACTGCTCTCGGAGTCACGTGTGTTATCTGCGTGACATCACGGAAGCGTTGGATTGCTCATTCCTTGACAAAGACTTGAGTTATACAGTCAAAAATTTGATTCCAATCAATTTGTTGTGTTGGAAATTACAGTTTAAACTTGCTTCATAAATAATTATTCCATATGCTTTAATATAAAACTTCTCTGTACCAAATAAAATATGGTATACACCAAACTTGTATTCGTTTTTCCGTAAAATCTCAAGAATGACTAGGAACGGAATTTATTGATTCAGCAAACAATACTTTGTGCCATTTTTGGACCAATAGTCTATTCGACTAAGATGGTTTTTTTCTGTATATATCAACTTCTACTATATTAAAATCAACGTTAATCCCCATCAATACTCCAGTCCTTCTACACAGGACAGGGACTGTTCTTTAATGAATCACCCCGACCGGTTTATTAAGGGCCAGGACATTTTACTAGTCTTCTCCTAAGTTAGAAAAAGGTGTAATAGTTAGTTAAGACAGTCAGATTTAAAGCGGTCGGTAGGGTCCTAAACACGCACATATGGGCAAAAAAACTTTTTAAACTAATGTTTCCCTTGTCCTGCTGGCATTCCTGGCATAATATTTTTCAATAATTTCATGTCTTAATTAGATCATAGCCCCCCATTTTTTTTGCCCTGCAGTGGCATAGTTACTTCCGCATTCGTTGCGTTTCGCTGCGGTGTGATGCGTTGCACGAGAAATACCCCCAAATCGTACCTATACAGGGTGTTATATAGATGGTACTGTATGTGCCACGCGACATATGGGTTATAGAAAAATAGACAAAGAAAAAAAACTGCCATTATTTTCAGTCACGAATAAAAAAATCAGAAAATAATCTAAAAGCACTGTAAGACAAATTAGGATGCAAAAAAAAAATCGCCCTTTGGCATTTGTCGACCTTACCTTTATTCCAAACGTCGCTTGGCTAAAAATGTTGAAACCAATTAGCTAAATGGCAGGAGCAGAAAAAGAAAAAAATGTCAAGAAAAATATATTCTTTATCCCTATGGTATGGAATGAACTATAAAAAATGCCAAAGGTCTGAAATTAAATTACAATACGCATTCGGTGAAGACGTACTGTCATACATGTGAAATTTCAGACACGTACTTGAACCGGAAATTGGTCGGGGCGATTCTTTCTTGAATAGTGCGCGAAACTTAAATTTAACAGCCAACAAACCGCTACTCTTATACAAGGGCCACCTTTGAGCATGGTTATAAGTAGAAGGGGAGGACAGTGATTTTGTTAAAATTCAGCACAACCAACTGTCCTCCCGGTCCCACTGCAACATCTCTCAGGTGTAAAGCACGGATAGCGATGTGGCGGACATAGTCACCCCGGCTTGTGTACACCACCACGCGCTGGTTGTCTGAGTCCGCTACCACAATATGACCGGACTTGTCCACACAGATGCCTCGAGGATAATTCAGGTCACTACCACTCAGCCCCGGTCCTCCAAACCTTAACACGTATTGTCCAGCGGCGTCGTACATGTAGATGTAGTGGGTGTTGTAGTCGGAGACGAAGACGTTCCCTTCTTCGTTAACGGCGACGTACATCGGCCTCTGCATCCGCCGCTGGCCATCCCAGAGGAGTTTACCATTCGGCTGGAAGGCTTGCACACCACCATTGTAACCGTCAGACCAGGTGACGAAAACGTGGTTGTTGCGCAAGCCCACAGCCATTCCGCGGTTTGCCCCCCGTGGTACAGTGTCGGGAAGGTCAAACTTGGCTTTGAGATGACCTTTCCTGGTGAACTGTGCCACGGTATCAGGGCTTTTAGGGTACCCATGCATCAAGACCCACAGGTGGCCATCTCTGTCGATGGACACATCAACTGGCGTCTTGTTTAATGGGTAACCTATCCCCGGTGCACCTTTGGGGAACTGGTGTAGGTAAGTGCCTGCCATGCTGTACACCTGGAGGCACGCCTTGGGCCGGTCAGCCACCCAGATCTTGTTGTCGGCGGAAACTGCGACTCCATTTGCGCCCTGCAGTTTTCCAGCCCCCGACTCAAAATCAAAGCTGATGCTGCTTCCACCACCAGACACTTCTACAGCAATATAAATGAATGCAGCCTGTTACAAAACCCCACACAAACCTTCATGCCTCGCAAAAAAAACCCCATGAAAACAGAGGGGTACATACAGGCTGGAAGCACGGCGGTCTGTCACTACGGCATTCTTTCCCATTGCTAGGCGCGTTCGAAAAGGTATCAGGTTACAAGACGCTATTTTGGCCTGTTTTGGACTACCCGTAAAACATTAAAAAGTAAGCAAATAGTATTTAGTGGTAAATTTCGTCAAATTGAAATGAAATTATTACCTTAACATCCTCTTAATGTTAGCTTTTTATGTTAAATTACTGATTTTTTTTAAATTTCGCTCAGAAAGACGATTATTTTCGGGTTTCCGAGCACCAGTCATGTCATGTTTTTAGGCAAACATCGTTCAAACCTGGCTACGTGTATTACCCCAGATCCCCGATTTTGACATTTTTCGACGACTAGGAATAAGATCAAAAATAGTGTTTTAGGAATTTTTTCATTTCTGATTTTAAGTCTAGTTTTTTTCGACATATTGGTGAAAAAGTTGCATTTTTTGACATTTTTTCACTGAATTACCCATAATTCAAAATTAAGGCAATTTTTCAAAAATCCCTTAAACGCGATTTTCGGGACAAACGTGTCAGTCATTTTGAGCCGTAAATGGGGTATGTTTTGACTCTCCATGCTTCCAGGTTTGAACGAGTTTTGCAGACATGTCATATCGCCCGAAAGTGTGCATTTTGTTATTCATACAGGTGTAAAGGATCATTACAGTATTCAAGGTCACCCAAGGATACGGCAGTAGCTTCGCTACATGTTACATGTCCACAAAAAATTATAGTGGACATGTCCAGGAAACTATATTATAGAAAAGTGTTGTTACCTCCATGAAAAATGGAGGTATTGTTTTTGGCGTGTTTGTCTGTGTGTCTGTCTGTGTGTGTTTCAGAAACTTTGTGGTCATCATAACTTCAGAACGCCTTTATGGATTGTGATGATATTTGGTATGGTAAGACGAAGTTCAAGGTCAAATACCGGCCTCCTGGTGGATGACCTTGGTACTGCCGCAGAACTTCCGGGTTTTGTATCTTTTGTCCTGAACATGCTATCGTCTTGACTTTTGTGACAGATAGCTTTTCCTGTCAGAAATAAGTGGTGTGGGTTTGTTCCCCCACCAGCTTGTTCTAGAACTGCAGGGGACTTTCGGGCGAAATCTTTAAAAGCCAATAAGTCCAGATAGGAACAACATATTTTCATCATTTTTGGTAAGTAGGTAGCTGAGAGAGATTTGTACACGATTAAATGCAAATTATGCAAATGAAGACCTAATTTACATAATTAATTAGGAAATTCCATAATTACATTATAGTACTTTCATACATATAATATATGTAATCTTTTGCAGATAGAACGTCAACAGATATCAATTATGCAAATGATGACCTAATTTGCATAATTATTGCGAAAATTATATGATTTCTTAATGGTGAATGATGGCAATTCTGTACCTTGTGACATGTAGGTTACTTAAATGTTAACACTATGCATATATTATGTTAATATAGAGGCAATTCGCATAATTAATGAGGAAGTTTAAGTGAAATATTGCCAGAGGATAGGAGTTTGACACGCAAAATATTGTAAGTTGAGTTTAGAATACCATAAATTAAAGTACATTATATCAGTTGCCACCTTATTTCGATATTTAATGAAACAAAACATTTACATAAACTCTACATATTTTATGGAGGTATGAAATCTCAGAATTCTTGTTTTTTATCTGTTGCGAGTCACTCAGGCAAAAGGGCTTGTATTGCCGCTTTATTGTAAATGACCGCAGGTGACCCCGAAATAGAACGCGGGTTCGATTCGAATTGCCCAGATCGAACACGATTGAACACAGTTCGGGTTGTATGAAATGTGGGAACTTTGCAGCCCAGATTTGACTACCGTGAAGGTACAAGGATGTAGCTTTGACTTTGGCACAAGACCTGCTTGGCCAATTGGGTTTGTCACGTGAAGCATAATACAGCCTAGCATTGCGCCAAATTGATATTCAAATAGCGCCACTATAAGAATTATAATTAGTCTGCCACCGACAACGTACTGCGCCATATCGTGCTCGGGTGTTCTAAAATCTCCTCTCTCTACATGTCCATATTTTCTAATTTGCTGTGTCGGAAAAGATACCGTCTGCAACAAATAGACGCAGTACGTTGTGTTGACGTGCCTGTATATCTCCACAGGACAAATGACAGTAATTGCAATTATGAATTCGCAATGTTTTTTTTACAGTTTCTAGGATAGACGGGGCTGAGGTAAAAATGAAGTCAGATTATTTATTAAGGTTCTAAATACGCAAAATGTTCATTAAATACTAATTTGGTGGAGTTATTTGCTCCATAAAAAATTGAGGTATTGTTTTTGGCGCGTCTGTCTGTCTCTCTGTGTGTGTGTGTCTGTCTGTCTGTCTGTGTGTGTGTTTGTGTTTCCGCACATTTGTAGTCAGCATAACTTCATAACGCGTTAATGGATTGTGATATTTGGTATGCTGGTAAGTCTTAGGAAGACAAATATCAAGGTCAAATATTGGCCTCCTGGTGGATGACCTTGGTACTGCAGCAGAACTTCTGGTTTTTGTATCTTTTGTCCTGAACATGCTGTGGTCTTGAATGTTTGGTAACAGGTATATTTTAGATAGATTTTTTTGTCAGGAAAAAGTGGTGTAGGTTTGGTCCCCCTACCAGCTTGTTCTGGAACTACAGGGACCTTCGGGCGAAATCTTTGATTGCCAATAAGTCCAGATAGGAACAACGTATTTTCATCATTTTAGTAGGTAGGTGACTGAGAGAGAGATGTACATAATTAAATGCAAATTATGCAAATGAGGACTTTATTTGCATAATTAATAAGGACATTCTTTAATTACAGTGTTTAACGTTATAGTACTTTCATACATGTAATGCATGTAACCTATGGCAGATGAAACATCAACAGATACTAATTATGCAAATGATGACCGAATTTGCATAATTAATGCGAAAATTATATAATTTCTTAATGGTGAATGATAGGAATGTCATACTTGGGACATCTGTAAGTTAATCAAAAGTTAACATCACGATGCATATGTTATGTTATTGCAGAGGTCATTTGCGTAATTAAAGAAGAAATTTACATTTACATATCAAGCCTATATTTCATGAAGGTATAAGATTTCGGAGCTCTTGTTAGGCATTGAAATAGTAGTGCGTTCGCCGAGTATTCATTCATCTTAATTTCAGAGAAAAACTATACATAATAATAACTTTTTTTACTAACTGTGTATTCAGGACCCTAATGACATTCATTTGATTATCTCAACTTCAGGAAAAGACTGTGAAAGTTCAGAAATAAAAATAGGTAAACCTTAGATGTATGTATTCACTAGATTCTTACATTTCCAGCTACGTAAAAAAACTATAAGTTGGTCAAAACAAATCTTCTACAATCCCTAACGTAAAGTAGTAACAAACCTTTAGTGTCCACGGGAAGCGTCCTGCTGATTTGTGTAGGTCCTGATGTTTCCACTCCAGCAAGGACTGAGTCAGGAGGACCACGCCGACGGGCCGGATCAACCTGTGGAACGGTTATTGTGTTTACCAAAGGAAAACATATTGTTTTTACTCAGTTTCCTCTTCCATTCCAAACACTAACCTCTGACCTGGCCAATGACAAGATTTGTTGACGTCTGTCACCATGGTAACTGGTGTTGGGTTACATAATGTTGCTATCTTATATTGTTTAAAGGGGTTTACATATAGACTCCTGTCTGACCATATATATGCATATATTTGAGAAAGAATTAACAGAGTAGACCACGTGCGAAGGTAAACATTATGCATTTGCTTTGCAAATGGTACCTTTCTAGTTGTATTTACTTGTTTACTTCGCAGAAGATAAAATATTGTTTGTGCTCTTTAGTCCAAACAAGGGTCTACATAGAGTTAATGAGAGATTCAAATCACATATTTTTCTGTCATAATATGAATACCATATCTGCAATAAATATTAACTAGTACAAGATCCGAAAAAAAATTAGACAGCTGCTACCCACGATGACGTAAGATGACGTAAGCCGACGTCACTGTCCTCAGCACAGCAGAACTTTGCCAAGCATGCGCAGTAGAGTCCGTGGTGCCGGTCCCTCGATTGGTTGTCACAGGCTACAGACATGTGAATAGTGTTAGATTACACAATACATAACGGATAGATAATGATGTTAATCTTATTTCCAAAAACAATGACACGGAATTAAACAGCAAAATCGAGAAAAGCGCTGTATTTTAAGGAGGTTTTCCGAACTCTACTTGATTAACGTTAAACAGTACTTGACGCTATTTAACCTAAATATTTATCGTTGTTGTTAGCCCTTTTTGTTGACTCGGTATCATAGTGATGTAACTTCAAAATAACTTGACAAGTTCTCTTTTTTTTCTGAGTTAAGGTATCACGACCTGAATATAGATGGTCTAATACATACTGCATATTGATCTGTGCCATGTAGTGTTTACGTTTGTAATCTTGCATAAAAGAAAGCTTCTGTACAGTTTTAAAAAGTAGAGGTAAACTTACATGGTTATGGTGAGACGGTTGAGAGCCGGTGTGAACCAGAATCACATGTACCATCAGCGTTACCATGACAACGGACCCTATGATGATGATGATAAACATGGCGACTCTTTGGCCGTGGTTCCTTAGTCGTTCCCAGATGGAACGTCCTTCATTCGGTGCATCTGAGAAGAAGAAAAGATACATGACTTTTTAGCCCCTTTTCAATATTTACATTTCATCGACAATAAAAACAAATGTTTAAAGTTAAAACATTTGATCCAACAGAATACAGTTCCCTCACCTAGAACATTTTGATGAGTCATTCTGATCTTCCTCAGTAGACTGAGGTCAATACATTTTTTTGTGTAATAATAGTTTATTGGCAACACTCCTTGTACATGGCAGCGTACAATACCGCTGAATTACGTACACAGGTTTAAAAACAATTAAACAATAAGGTGAGCTAACAAACAAAGGACATTGACAAACTAGATACAAACATAAACAAATACTGGCTGTACACAGATATAGATCAGAAGTATCTAATGATTAAAAACTATATTGGTCCGGTACTGGGAGATTTCAACCTAGGTCTGCTTATTTAACAAATCAGTGAAATAGGGGATTGGACTCGTTTTGTACCGCTTTGTTTTCGTCAAGGGAATGTCGAGTTGGTTTGCCCCCTTCAGGCATCTGCCATGAATATCTGAGCGGGTTGGGGGTAACCAATGTCTGAACGTAGGGGAGTTAAGGAGGGACTTTGCAAACTTAAGGCTGAGGGCTTCTCTTCTTTTCTCTAGGGACGGCAAACATAATTGGGACAGGGCGATGTTGTAAGACGTGTACCTGGGGCCAAGGATTATCTTTACTGCTCGTTTTTGTATGCGTTCAATTTTTATTACTTGATGTGCGGAGATACTTGAATTCCAAACTGGGGCCGCATATTCAAGGGTGGGGCGTATGTATCCTTGGTAGAAATCGCAAAGGTCTTGAACAGGGAGTCCGGAATGTTTCAATTTCTTCAGCCAGAAAAGACGTGAGCTCCCCTTCTTTGTTATAACTTCAATATGTTTGTCCCATTTCAGGTCCCACGAGAGCCATAAACCGAGAATACAGGTGGATTCGGTATACATAAGGGGCTTATTATGAAGTGTTATATTAGGGGGTGGGGGGCAGTCTCTCATAAAGGAAAAGGTCATGAGCATACACTTATCGTCATTTAGCTTCATGTCATTATTAATTGCCCAAGAGTTGAGTCGGTCCATAGATGATTGAATTAGGCTCGCTTCACAGAAAAGTCTGCTCTCGCATACCGACAGGTCATCTACGTATTTATAACGATTTAGAATGTCATCTTGTAAGGCGTCATTGACATATATAAGAAAAAGAATCGGTCCCAATTTAGTGCCTTGAGGCACTCCAGATGAGATTCCCTCCCAATTTGAGGATTTGGTACGGTATCGGACGCACTGGCTACGGTTTGTGAGGAAGCTACATATCCAAGGCATAATTGACGCCCTTACCCCACATGTCAACATCTTGTTAATTAGCTTGGTGTGGTTTATCCTATCGAAAGCCTTACTGAAATCGGTTATTAAATGTTATTTGATTGTGAACAATCCATTACATAAAGAAGGCTTGACGGGGTGTGAAGACTTAATGGTGTATTAGAGTCTGATTAGTCTGAAAAGGTCATCGTGTAGATGTTGACAGAGCGATGAGATGTGTTTATATGGTTATTATAGGAACTGAGTAGGCCTTGGTACAAGACATGGTAACGCCGCACTCAAGTGGAAAGCACTTATGTTCACGGCACCACTAAATAAATATATATAATAATTAAAGAAAAAACAAACGCAACTTTAAGACGGGCAAAACAGGAAATACAGGAATTTCAAAAGCGCAAGTCCGGTTCCCCACCCAATGATAAATGATGGCAAAGAGAGGACACAATAAATAGATAACACGGGGGGAAATTGAAATCTTTTAAATACGTTCTGATGTGGTGATAAAGTTTTAGGTAAGTGATAATATATTGAAATTGACAACTGATGAGAATGCAGGACTGCCACGGAGTAAAAGGTCAGTTTTTGCGTTGTCAGAAAGAGTAGGCTTTGCGTCACCATATACACCTCTGGGCTAGAAATTATTTCTACTGTACCTGGAGGCTGATTCTGGTTAACCGGTTGCCCGTCTGACCGCTCAATGACCCGTCGTGCGCTCTGGCAGGCCTCGGGATGGAGGGGACAGGCCGCCGGGCGCTGTTCGGAAGTGTGTAATGGTGTGTGCCGGCCGTCTCAGGTCGGGTCCTGTCGGTGGTTCTTCCTGTCCTCGGGATGGAGGGGGCAGGCCGTCGGGCGCTGTTCCGAAGTGTGTAATGGTGTGTGCCGGCCGTCTCAGGTCGGGCCCTGTCGGTGGTTCTTCCTGTCCTCGGGATGGAGGGGGCAGGCCGTCGGGCGCTGTTCCGAAGTGTGTAATGGTGTGTGCCGGCCGTCTCAGGTCGGTCCCCGCCGGTGGTTCTTCCTGATCTCGGGTTCTTGGGCACAGTTTCCTCGTCTGTCGGCAAAAGGTGAACGTCATTGGATATAGATTATGCAAATCAGAGCTTGATTTGCATAATCAACAATAACACTTTATTTATATCTTTTGTGCTAAAATAGGACTATAAATCATGCAAATGAGGAGTTAATTTGTATATTCAATTAGAATGCACATAAAATGCCAGTGGTCAATCTGTGACACATTTCATTTTTGTTAAGAGTAACCTTATACAAAAGGTATGCCGATTGGGCAATATATGTAACAGTTAACAGGACTAAAATTAGCAAAGGCGTAAAATTGTAGAACTGCGTCACATTATAACCATTATAAAAGTTAATCAAAATCTAGATGTTAAAGACAAATTATTTGTAGTGCTACCAAACACAATAAGGAATATCACACGTGACTTTTTAATTTCGAGATTACAAAGGCCACATGAAGCGAGGAATTGTTCCTGCTTTGTAGACTCCCCACACTCCCACGCACATAGTCTGTCCCTAACGTTTTGTGACGCTATCAATTTGCACTTTTCATATTCAATAAAGGACGAGTAAAAATATTCATGCAGAGAGTGGTTCAAAATCTGATAATCCAGATCTTTGGGTAGTACTACACATTTCGACCACCTTTTTGCTATAAATCCAGTTCATTGTACAAATACTTCCCAGTCGGGACATTTCCCAGGGCAAGATGACCTACGTGCCGCGGGCAGACAGGCAGTTTGTTGGGCATCTTGGGTAGTTATGCCCGCCGACTGCGATTAAGCACTCCTCGGAGAAGTAGGCGTTTTTTTTAATCAATTATAACGGTTGTCATACAAACATGGTAAGGATTTTTTAAGGCCAGGAAAATGGACATTCTCCCACAATGAGCTATTTCTCATAGCGTCCTTCGTGTAACCTAATTTCCATAAATTTGCAAATCCCCAGAAATACGTCCCATCCAGTCCATCATTTTATGCTACCAAACTTGAGCTTATTTTTCGAGTTTCCCTTTAGAGACTATTACGAAAAGACATAAATTACAGTTAGATTATTCTTTATTCCGTGCAATAATTTTGTGACTAACCTGTTGATGCGTTATACACCGGATTTAATGGTACGTGTTGGTGGGCTTGTTTCTGAAGATTGTCGTACCCGCTCTCCCTTCTTCCATCGCTCTGTCCGGGGCGATGAGGCCGATGAGCCGGAGGCATCTTCGTGAACTTTACGGAGGGAAGAGGGATTCTCCCCGACTTGTTATCGTTGGCATATGGGGGAGACGACATGGCCGTTCCTCCATCCACGTTCCTGTCTTCCAATAATATTTCTGCGGTACTTAAAGCGAATCGTCCACAGGTAGTGGCGGCAGGGGTCGGTTCTGTATCCCTGCCACACGTGTAGGTGCCCCGCCGGGGGTTTGCCGGACCATCTGACGGACTAGCCGCCATCTCGGGTCGCACCCGACCTGGTTCTGATCTCCACTGAGCTCTACTTCAAAACGTCGGTAACACTTTAATTGTCTGGATATTAGAGATGACAAGTCACATGTAACACCCGATCAAAGCAGCTCGGAATTTTCTAATCTAATGTTTGCTATGACCGCCTAATGTATATAAAACAGCTTCGAACCAAGTTTGTATTGTATTTCTCAGTGCGTAGAATAGTAATGTAGAGCGCAAGAGGGTTTCATTATATCACTTTACCGATGTTTGTTTCAATCTCGGAGGATTTTGGTATGACTTAACAAAACAAAGAACAACGTCAGATACAAGCCTCCTAGCGACTTTCCGTGGTACCGCAGTCAGTTCTGAAAGGTCTCTTTCGGGGTGGAAGAATTAATGCTGTTAGCTCGCGCACTCAAGCGGATTTATTTTCTTTGTTGTGTCTTTAAAACTGGACACCGTTCAGATATAAGGGGTTTCATAGTTCTAGTTGGTCACTGTCATTGTTGGCGACTGGGGCGAGAATGAATATTATACACAAACCTGGAATAACACAATCTCATACCTCCGCCGAATAAGGTTAACACTGGCGGATGTTCACTTATGATGATTTTTTTAATTACTTAAAAGTAATCATGAAACAAAAAAATCTCATTTTTAAGAAATATATCAGTTGGTTATATTCCCCACCTAATGATAGTCCTATCCTATGAAATAGGGCTTTGCTAGAGTTTTCTAGAAAGTATACATAACATGTCCTGATATGAGAAAGTTATGTTTAAAGATGTTCACCTTCTTTCAACATCCAAATACTACAAGTAGGAAAGTCCCGGCAAACAAATCAAATGCTACTGTGGAGATTACTTCCTGATTTTTCAAGCGACATTCGTCACTCTTCTTCAGCGTTATTATTAAATGGAACTGGGAGAACAAGTCGACATTTGGAATTAAAAATGGCGGCTAACTTAGCGCAAAGGACGACGGGAGATCGCTTCAACACCTGGTGTTTTTCCCTGGTTAGTCAGACCGCGCCGCGCACTGCCGTCCCCTTCACAACATAAATACCTTAGCCCACCGTCTAGAATGTCTGTTGCTTCCAGTCTGAAAGAATGCACCTGAGTTTACTGCGTACTTGTGGCGGTAGATGGTACATCAGTATCCTGTTCCGTTTAAACTCTGCAAATTTGTTTAATTGGCTTTTTACTATAATCATCCTTTTAATAACAGAAAAAATGCACTATTGACAAAATGTAACCCTTTCCTGGACTATTTTATCCTCATCTTCATAACAGAGACACGGATTGAATATATGCACAGTTGATTGTTCTACATATGTCTTGAATTCCAACTTGAAAGCGATATTATTTTGTGTATAATGTTCATTATCGTCCAATTGACCCACAAGTTCACAAGGCAAGAACCATGAATTCCCTTTCATTTTTAAAAACACAAGAAAAAAAAAATTAAGGAAAGCTGTTAGAATGAAGTCTAAGCCAACTAAGTTATTCTTGCACCACAAAAAGCTACATAAAACGGAATTTTACTGCGGTACCATAGAAATCCTCTAGGAGACAAGTAATCGAAATTCCTCTTTGTTTTGTCAACACACACAAAATCATTGAACATTCAAACAAAAATCATAAGTAAAGTGATAAAGTGAACCCCACTTTCGCTAAACGTCACTACGCTACAGTATGAATCGTGCAATACAGTGTCAAGTTTGTTTGGAGCTATTTTATATGCATTAAGCAGTCAGCAAACTGTAGATGAAAAAATTCCAAGCTGCTTTGATCGGGTGTTACATGTTTAATGTCATAACCGATCTCCAGACAATTAAACTGTTATCGGTGCGGTGTTTTCTCTGTAAAGTTCAGTACTAACTGGACCTTGAGTCAGGTTCTGACCTACCTATACCCCCAAGTCAAAATAAAAGGGCATGGCAGGACAACAAATGTGCGTATAACGTGCATTTATTTTTTTAATTCATTTATTAATTGCAATTCTTTACATACACATGGTGGAACAGGTGGACCTAAGTACACATTTTTAAGACCACCATGCCGACAATATTACAACTGAAACTCATACAAGACCGTTACTACAAGTTGGTTTTCAGAAGATGAAATACGTAAATCTGTAATCTCAAACGTTATAGATCGTTTACCATTTTTTCTAGCTCTCATCACCATGTCCGAGCTAGACGGCGTCTATAGAATACGTACAAGTGTCCTAATAAACTCTAAAAACGATTGCCATTTTCACGTTCACCTCACTAACACACTACTGGTGAAACTGAAATGGTTACAACTTTTTTAACAGCGAGTATAGCACCAACTACTCAAAATCCTACTTCTGACACCATTTTTACACCATTTTAGATAAAATAAGATAAAATAACAACATCAATATATAACACATAAATACTATTTTAAACTCCTACATCTTACATCTCCTTCAATTACATATTATGTTCATTACAATATTTGTACTTGTACACGTCTAAGTTTATCTGGGTTGTGATCCGAAACAATCAATTCAGCCACAGAACAACAACAGCAAAGCGACTGGGAACTAAAACTAATCCCCCCCCCCATTATAAAGTAAAGTCTAGCATCCAACAACTCTACATCTGTTATGAGTTCACTCTGTTCTGCTTAATTGTATATAGCCTAACTTTATTTGTGTTCACATTTTGTTTGGATTCTGTACCTCTGTTTCTCTGTTGTTTATGTATTATTTATGTTCAAACGGTGTCGTATAAGCCCACACGGGCTGGGCGTGGTATGCGCACGACACGAAAATAAAGTTTCATTCATTCATTCATTCATTCATTCATTCATTCATATAGCGTTACTCCGTGCCTTAGCTAATAAATTTACCCATGGCACATTGTTAGACATAATGTATTTCAAAGCTCCATAAATCGAATATAAATTGTCAGTCCACAGAGCTAACACACTTGTGCTCCAACGTCCAATGTGACTCTCTCTCTCTCTCTCTCTCTCTCTCTCTCT